AAAATAAAAATATGCAACTGGGCTCGGTGGCTCAGCCTGTGATCCCAGCACTTTGGGAGGCTGAGGTGAGTGCATTGCCTGAGCCCGCAGGTTCGAGATCCGCCGGGGCAGGCGAGACCTCATCTCTACAATAAATCAAAAAATCAGCCGGGCGTGGTAGCTGTAATTCTGGCTACTTGGAAGGCTGAGGCGGAAGGATCGCCGGAGCGCAACACGTCAAGGCTGCGGTGGCCGGGAGCGGCCACTGCACTCCAGTCTACGCGACTGAGTGAGACTCCGACTCAAAAAAAAAAAACCAAAAACCAAAATAAAAATACGCATGGATTTCCCCGGTTAATGAATGGGGAACAAGTTAAAAACACATGAAGTAACTTAAGTCCACACATCCAGAATGTGTTGGAAGAGAGGGGAGTCGGGCTTTGAGGAGTCAGGACGGCCAGGTGACCCGTGCTCCCCCAGGACTGAGCATTTACTGAAACTGGACGGTACGAAAGATTTATATACGGGGCTCACTGCGCCACCACCATCAGGCTTTTTCCGACAGTCTCCACTCCACCTGCCCCCATTTTTATCTCACCCGACACTTTGAATCCCTTGTGGCTAACAACCCATGTTGCAAAGGGATGAAGCTTCTGCCACTGACCCCCATGGTGTGGGAGAGTGAGTTGGAATCTTCCTCTGTCGCCCAGGCTGGAGTGCAGGGGCACGCTCCCGGCCACCACAGCCTCGACCTGCTGGGCTCCGCTGATCCTTCCACCTCAACCTTCCAAGTAGCTGGAAGTATAGGCGCACACCACCACGCCTGGGTAATTTGTTTACTTATTGTAGAGGCGAGGTCTCGCCATGTTGCCCAGGCTGGTCTCAAACCCCTGGCTTAGGCAGTCCTCTCGCCTCAGCCTCCCAACGTGCTGGGATGACAGGCATGAGCCACCGCGCCCAGCCAAAACTGCAAATCAATCAATCAATCAATCGAGATGATGGGTCGAGAAGTAAACAAGGGACAGGGGAGGGAGTTTTGCGCCTCAGGCTGCTTTAGTTTAGGCCACCTAGCAAACCTCTGAAGCCAGAAATCAGTATCCAACCGCCTGATCTAAAGTGTGTGTGCCAGGCAGGCCGGCATCTGTAGAAGCAAGGAATCAGACGGTAGTGCGATAACCCTCACACTGACATTTTAAGAAGCGGTGCTCCTACATGTATACACCCTTCTCACCCAAGACTGCAAACCTCCCAGGACCAAGGGCTATTCTTCCATCCCAGGGCCGGGAGCCCAGAAGGCTGCACTGCCGGGTGGGTACGGACATTTGCAAGACGATGTGTGCTTTCTCAAGCTGTTCCTTCTTTTCTCAAGTTCTATTGAGATCTAGTTGATCTAGTTACCTAAACGCACGACACCACCACAACCCAGGGACTCAATGCATTGTCATCTCCAAAAACATCCTGTTTCTGCTGTGGTGAGCACAGTTAACTCATGGTCCATTCTCTTCATGTATTTTATTTTTTTTGAGTTGGAGTCTCACCCTGTCGCCCACACAGGAGTGCAGTGGCCACTCCCGGCCACCGCAGCCTCGACCCGCTGGGCTCCAGCGTTCCTTCTGCCTCAGCCTTCCGAGTAGCCGGAATTACAGGCGCGCGCTACCACGCCTGGCTGATTTTTCGATTTATTGTAGAGATGAGGTCTCACTGCCCAGGCGGGTCTCGAACCCGTGGGCTCAGGCAATCCACTCACCTCAGCCTCCCAAAGGCGCGGGATGACAGGCTGAGCCACCGAGCCCGGCTCTTCACGTATTTTAAAGGTGCACGCTGCGCTGTCAACTCCAGGCGCTGCGTTGAACAGCGGTTCTCCCAAGCTGTTCCGTCTGGCCCGGCTGAAGCTCGACACTCAATGAGCAACAGGGTCCCACATCCCCTGCCCCCAAGTCCCTGGCAACTGCCACTCTATTCTCTGCTTCCTCAGTCTCAGCGTTCTAGACAGTTCATGCAAGTGCATACACTCCTCCTTTTCGGATCCTCATGGTCAGCCTGGGCCAGTGGCTCTCAGCTCTTCTCTCAATCACAGAGGGTACCACTACTGCCCATGCCCCGAAAAAATAGATACCTCGAACCCTTGAACTAAACACCACAATCTCCCGGAATGAGAGCAAGATGTATGTATACATTTGAAACATCTCCCTAGGTCACTGTGGCATGCCACGTGAACCATTGAATTAGTGCTGGGTGTGGTGGTGGTGGTGTGCACCTATAATTCCAGCACTCTGGGAGGCTGAGATGGGAGGAATGTGTGAAGCCACGAGTTCAAGACCAACCTGAGCGACATGTGAGACCCCCCTCGTCTCTAAAAGTAAAATTTAAAAATAAGTCAGGCCTAGAGATGCTTGCCTGTAGTCTCAGCTACTCAGGAGGCTGAAGCAGGAGGATCACTCGAACCCAGGTTGAGGCTGTAGTGAGCTACCATCGTGCCACTGCCCTCCAGCCTGGGCAACATAGCAAGACCCCGTCTCTAAAAAAATGCACGAACATGGGAGATGGCTCCTCTTTTCCCAAATGCAGGCAGGACTCGGTGCATCTGAACGTCTGGCTTAAAGGCAGAGAATAAAGTGGGTAAGCCAGCCGCTCCGGGGTGCGTTGGCACCAACGTCGACTCTTCCTTCCCCCAAAGGAGAGACACGCTTCAGGGGTATATTTCAACCAGGCATTTTATTGGTCTGGCAACTGCAAAATATACAAACTTCTGAAAGGCATCCCTGTCTGAAAGCCAGCACAGCTTCATCCAGGTCACGAGCTCAGATGAGCAGAGCACAGAAGCCGTAAGTCACCGGAGAAAGCCCCCAAGCCACGGACAAGACCCCGTCTCTACAGCTGTCTATTGTACAGGCGCCCTGATACATATTAAATAAATAAATAGCACATCTGCTATCAAAATAATAAAAAAATAAATTTCAAGTATTACAAACGAAGATATCATTGGTGTGGTTCCAACGATTTTTTCTTCTTCTCCCCCAAATGAAGAGCTTTTGCCCGTGGTCTCAGGACAGAATAAGGGGAGGGGGAAGCCACCCAGAAACAAATATGCAAAGTTAAAAATATTGGTCCCGGTTATTCTGGGGGAGGGGGGAGTGATAATCCCTGGAGGCCAAAGTTCATGACTGTAGCTCACCCAACCCCCGCCCAACGCCGCCTTGAAAGGCAGGTCACTGGCTTGTGAATTAGGCAAGCTTCTGTTCCCTCCACGACGACCCCTCCTGGCCAGACTGATGTTCCCCCTCCCCAACCTAGAGTCCTGTGTCAGGCAAGGGTGTCCAGATTGACGTGTTGACTTTAGGCAGTCGGGGGGGAGGGGATACACCTTCTTCAAGGCCCCCCTACCTGGGTCAGACTTCAGAGGCAACGTCCAGGGCGTGAAGCCAGAGTAGGACAGAGGCCACCAGGAGCACATGTGTGTACACGTGTGCCCGCCGCCCCGACCCGCAGCCTAGCAAGACTCCACATTCTAGAAGAGAGGGAACACGTCCCAGACTGAAGCCACACGGGAAGGTATGAAACTAACATCCTCGCCGGCAGGTATCAGGTCAAGGAGGATTTGGATGGCTGAATATAAAACCCTAACCTCCATGGTAAAGCTCCTCCCCAAACAAGCAAAACCAGGTCTCTCCACTCCCAGCTTCCGGTGTCTAAGTGCCTGGCCCTGGCCCCCCAGCCTGACCCCTTGAGAAGGCAGGGACGAAAGATGACCTTTGGCCCCAGGCCCAGCTGCGAGACTTCCTGAAAAGGGTCATTTGGACAAACTCTGTGCCGAGTTTCCAAACGGCTTCTTCTGGGCACGACGCCCCCTCCTAGCCCAGGACTGAAGGCAGCAAGGAGAAATCAACCAGCAGAAACTACAGGTATTGAGAACCACATGTCCCATAAGCCCTGCTCTCCCCGCTGCACAAATGTCACAGACGCCACAAAGGCCAGGCGAGGACCAGCTCCACTCCTCTGACTTCTCCAGGGCGGCCAGGACGGCGCCAGGCACACACACGGCAGATGCGCGATAGAAACATGCAGACAAGCCCTCAAGAGGACTTGGCCGGGAAGGGGGCCTTGCTTGGGCCACTGTCCCCACCTAGGAAAGTGGGCGGTCACGCAGGTCCTGAGGGAAGGGAGCCGCGTGTTCTCGTGCTGTCTGCAGTCTTGCAAGAATCCGCATGCTCTGAGCTCCCCCCGCCCTCGTGGGTACACCCCACTCCCCGTAGTCAGAGGCTCGAAGCCCCGCAGGGCAAAACGCCCCGACATCTAGTTCCTGCGACACGCAGGTCACACTTCTGCCACCAAAAAAGTGCAAGCAAGCAGCTCCAGGAGAGTGGTTCTCAGGTAGCTCCCGGTGCTGGGAGGAGCAGAGAGGGACCCCGGAGCTCCCTGGGAGCGGGAGGGGCCTGTTGTCACGATCCAGCAAAATGCTTTCTCCTGCCCACACAGCCGGCCTGTCCCCGGACACCTTCAGAGACAGAACACAGGCCGGGGAAGGCGCGTGGGCCTGCGGGAGGGCCGGGTGTGTCACCACTCAGCCGACAACTCTTGGGGAAGCAGCCCCACCCCAGTGCCTGTCCACGTCCGTCCCCACGAGGCGTCCTCCCGGGTCAAAACGCACACAAGAGCCACGTGGAAGTTTTCAGACATCCCCCAACCTTCGGCAACTAGGATCTAGCCTCCTTGAATTTCAGAGTTCAGCCGCCACTGCCATTCCGGAGCTGCAGACAGGCCGGGTCAAGGGCGTTGGGACCAGACGGCCCAGTGGCCCCAGCAGCCCCGCCCCAGGGCCGTCCAGACTCATCGTCCTCAGGTCGGGTCTCTGAGGCCAGACGCCCCGGGCAGACCAGAGCACAGAGCGCGGGGGGCCTGCAGCTCGAGGCAGGGGGCCGGGGACCGGTGTGACTTGCGGGTGTCCTGGCCGCCGCGCCATGGAGGGGACGCATGGGGTGCCACGCACAGCCCTCTTCGGCCAGGGAGCCCCTTCTCCTCCGCCCAGCCCTGCTCCAGAGGAAGTCCAGGGGGCCGGCTTCGCCTTGGGCGGACGGCAGGGCACAAGCGAAGCTGCGGCAGTGGAAACGGAGTAGAAGCGGCGTGTCACCTTCAGTGCTTCCTGGAGGGGTCGGCGCCGCTCCGGGAGCCTTTCACGTGCTGTGTTGGGGAGGACGGAGAGGGCGGGAATGAGGGTCGGCAGAAGACGCCAAGCCACGCCACCGAGGGCGCCTCCTCCCTCCACCCCAAACAGAGAACACGGCCCCAGAGAGGCGTCGGCAGCCCCGCAGGTGGGTCCCAGACATGACAGAAGATGGAGTTGCAGACGGAGGGGGCTGGGCACGAGGCCTGGAGGCTGCTGGGAGCCTGCCTGGAGGAGGCGGGGACAGCCACCTGGCTCAGGACCCGGCAGCTGCAACTGCAGAACTGCCCCGCAGAACTGCCGAGGGAGGACTGAGGGCTGTGTGGCGCCGGGCGCCGGTGCCCACGGGAGCCTGGCAACCCCTTGGAGACCCCTTGCAGGACCCTCCCTGGCCACAGCCAGGTCGAGGACGAGCCGGGAGCCTCTGAGGACCACGGGTCCCTCCTCTCAACTCAGCTCCTGCATCCCAATTCTGGAACACGGCTCGACAGGCAGGACAGGTGATGTGTGGGACGGCCGGACACCGTGGGAGTCCCGGGGGAGTCAGGCAGAGCAGGCTGTCACCAACGCCCTGAGGATTTTGGGGCGCTGGCAGGAAGCCCCACCCCCAAGGCGCTGGCCGGCGCCAAGCCCTCCTGAAAACACATTCTCAAAGCAGCTGGGGACACGGCGGTTGCCACTGCACAGGAGGGTCTATTCCCAACCTCCTCCATCTGCCCTTCAAAAAGGAACATATGGCCAGGCGCAGTGGCTCACACCTGCCATCCCAGCAGTTTGGGAGGCCAAGGTGGAAGGATCACTTGAGGCCAGGAGTTCAAGACCAGCTTGGGCAACACAGCAAGACCTCATCTCTACAAAAATATCAAGAATTAGCCAGGTGTGGTAGTGCATGCCTGTAGTCCCAGCTACTTGGGAGGCTGAGGGGGGAGGATCTCTCGAGCCCAGGAGGTCAAGGTTGCCGCACCTCTGCACTCCAGCCTCAGTAACAGAGAGAGACATACTGTCTCTTTAAAAAATCAAATTGAAAAGAGAAACACAGCCGGGCTCAGTGGCTCAGCCTGTAATCCTGCGCCGTTGGGAGGCTGAGGTGAGTGGACTGCCTGAGCCCGCGGGTTCGAGACCCGCCTGGGCAGCGAGACCTCATCTCTACAATCAATCAAAAAATCAGCCGGGCGTGGTAGCGTGCGCCTGTAATTCCGGTTACTCGGAAGGCTGAGGTGGAAGGATCACCGGAGCCCAGCAGGTCGAGGCTGCAGTGGCCGGGAGCGGCCACTGCACTCCAGTCTGGGCGACAGAGTAAGACTCCAACTCAAAAAAAAAAAAAGAGAAACACAGTTTTAAGAGCCTTCTCTCCGATCGCAAGTGTCTCCATCAAGACTGCTCCGAGGGGAAGGGAGGTAGCAGGGGCCCAGGGCAACGGATGCACAAGGATCACCCCACACAGAAGTGGGGCCCCAGCTGGAGACACCTCCAGGGAGACCCCAGGGCTGAGCAGCACCAGAGTTGTCACCCAAATCTGGGCCAGACTCAGGGGACAGGTGAACATTGTGAGAGGCCGGGCCTCCTGGGAGTGCCTGCACCCTTGCAGAGCCCCAGCCCCCGGCTGGGCTGTGGGACCGGAGAGCCGGGCTGCTGCTTCCCCTGATGCCTGCTGGCTCCGCCCTGCCCTCCGGGACACAAGCCCACGGCCCCCGGTGCCAGACGATGGTGATGCAACAATGACACTGGAGGGCCACGAAGCCAGTGACATCCACAACCTTCGCTCAGGGGGCTCCGGGCTCAGGACACAGGGGGGCAGGGAAGACACAGAACAGAAATGACCTCAGGACCGGGGCGCTGTGCTAAGACCCTCCAGCATGGAGACAGATGAGCCACACACTGCACGATGGCCAGGGCCACACAAACCAAGATGCCAGAGGCTGACGCACGACCAGAGACGCGGGAGGGACAGAGTGACACGCACCAGGGCCATTTACCTTCCCAGGTTAGTAGGGAGAAAACTTTGAGAAAATGTGACAGACAGTTCGTCTTTCAAGCACAGGAGGGAAGAGAAAGAAACAGGTTGGAAAGGAAAAAAAAGTTTAGTCGTGTTTTCTTTCTAATGTGGAAAGAAAAATGAGGGCTGGTCAGAAGCGGCCCAGGGGAAGGGGTGGGGGGGAAATCTCCCGACCCAGCAGCCAGCCTGGCCCCGGGAAGACACCAGGCACGGGGTCCGGCCTGTCGACCCCGTTTCACCAGGAAACAGGCCCAGGCACACACCAGGGCTTCCCCATCCCAGGTGTGAGCACCCCTGCTGCCAGGGAGAAGCCCCGCTGGCCTCCCAGGAGAGCAGCCAAGGGCAGCCTCCCGCCCGCCCAGGGCACCACGTCCCTCGCCGAAACGGCCGCCGTGTTGTCCACCGAGCACCGCCTGGGCGCCAGACACTTGCTGAACGTGGCGGCTATGTTCTCACGATCAACCCCCCACAAAGTCATCGTCTCCGTCTCACAGATGAGGCCACAGAGGTCCCCGAATTGCCTTCACTTGCCCAGAGGCTCAAACACAGAGGCCAGGAGCAGATCCCAAGATGCAGAGGGGCTCGCTTGGACCTGACAGTCTGGCCCCAGGGCCCGGGTCCATTTCTAGAATCAGACATAGCTATCATCCCAGACGTGGGGTCTCGCTCCCAGCTAGGCTGGACTCTAGGACTCCCAGGGGAAGTTCTGACCCGAGGAATTCAGCCGCAGGCACTGAAGAGCAAGCCGGCTCTGGAAGGTGGGGGGGTGTCCCTGCACGGCCCCCTCTGGCTGGAAGAGTTCTCTCCTTGTACCAGGGCAGGGGGCAGAAGGAGCAGGGCATACAGGCTGCAAAGCATCAGGCTGCAGCCCAGAGGCCCATGTCCCAGGAGAGCCCCATCCCGAAGGAGCCCAAGCTTTGACAGGCCGGCCCGGGCGGTGGCGGGGATGGACACTGGCCTGGGAGGACAGAGGCGGAGGTTCACGGACAGGCCAGCTGTTGGGCGGACAAGCCAGCCGGAGAGCAGCTGCAAGGGAGGGCCTCCCTGGGGTCCTGGGGGCTGCAGGGCCGGGGCCTCGGGAAGGCCCAGGCCTTCCCCACTCAGAGACCCACTCCTTGCCGGACTTCAGCCCTGCCTCAGCCCTCGCCAGTCAAAGAGACTGACTGCCCCACTGACCTCCACAGACAGGAAGGCCAGCACGGCCCCTGAGAGCTGGGAGCCCTGGGAGGTGCCTGTCACTGCAACCGAAGTGCCACGGGCCATGCCTGGGTCCGAACACCAGCCCCGCATGTCAGCTTCTCTAGCCGACGTCCTCACCACCTCCAGCTTCTGCAGAAGCCGGTGGGGGGAGCCCCACGAGCAAAAGGGACGAGCGGGGAGGCGTGATCGGGGGTGCGCAACATGGTGGCTGCCAGCCAGGCCACAGGAAGGCCATGCTCCTTCTGCGTGTGGGATCACCATGGGATCGTTGACCTGTTCACCCATGGGTTGCGAGAGTGGGTGCCGGACCCAGACTTGCTGCGGGGAGATTCGGCCAGAGGGAAGGGGGGGCTGCATGGGTCGCGGGGGGCCCCATGCCCAGTTGCAGGCCTGACGAGGACAGCTGAGCAGCACAACCAGATGGGACAGAAGGGTCCCACATGGAGCTGTTGGGGCACAGGGGGCTGAGGGGGGGTCTTGGCAGGGTAGGAGGGGCTGGCCACACGAACACAGAGCTCATTCTCCTATCATTCACTGGCAGACTAGGCTCGGGTGTAAGTTTTTCTTTCAAAATGAAAGGATGTGGCCAGGCCCGGTGGCTCATGCCTGTCATCCCAGTGCTTTAGGAGATAGACCGAAGGGTGGCTTGGGGCTAAGAGTTCAAGACCAGCCTGGGCAGCATAGTGAGACCTTGTCTCTAAAAAAACCAAGTTTTTAAATTAGCTGGGTATGGTGGCACACACCTGTAGTTGGCTGAGGCAGGAGAATCCCTTGAGCCCAGGAGGTCGGGGTTGGGGTGAGTAATCCCACCACCGCACGCCAGCCTGGGCGACAGGGCAGGACCTTGTCTCTAAAAAATAGCAAATAAAAAATGAAAGCGTGCTCCCCAGAGAGGAGGGGCTGTCAGACAATGGCCGCCAAAACCTGCCTCTGAGACGGAGACTGGGGTTTATGCCAACCCAGACCATGGCCATCACGAGTGACAACCCACCGCCCCGGGAGGGACAGAAAAGGCCAGCCATGGGGCAGCAGCAGGACACAGAGTCAGCGGACCGCGGTGACCTCCCACGCCCTTTCCTACAGACTCACGGATCCCTCCCCCTCCCACGCCCGCCTCCTTCCCCCGGGGGACGACCTCCACGGACTGCACACAAGCCACCCTTCTCCTCATATTTGCACAGGCAGGAGGCCCAGCTGGCAGGAATGCGAGATACTTACAGACAGGCTTGCCCTAGCACAGGCTGCAGAGAAGAAGCAGAGAGAGAAGTCAGTGGCAGGCAGGCGTGTCTGCGAGGACAGCCCCAGCTCCCGCCCGCCTGGCCCAGCCAGCACCTCCTGGACGCCCTAGAGGGCCTGGCTGCCTACAGCTGTCCAAGCACCAGGGGCAGCTCCAACGGCGCGAGCGGCCGGGGCTCCGCCACTGTGTCCCCCACGCAGAGGCCTCACCCCCAGCCCGGGCTGGTCCCCGCAACAAGCATGACGGTGGCGGCCTCTGATCTTCCAGAATCAATGCCGTTCACACCGGAACAGAACGTCAAGAAGACCCCAGGCCAGTTCTGCTCGGTCTTCAAAAGAAACAACCTCAGACCGGAGACCTGGGAGGAATATTTATCGGAGGTCTCCCAGTCCTGCGCCCGCCTTTGCACAGCTGGCGAGACTGAGAGCTGGTGGAGGGGTGGGGGCCCTTGCAATTAAAATGAGACACTCAGCCAGGTGCGGTAGCTCACGCCCATAATCCCAGCGCTCTGGGAGGTCAAGGTAGGAGGACTGCTTAAGACCAGGAGTTCGAGACCAGCCTGGGCATAAAATAAAAAAAATTTAAAAATCAGCCAAGCGTGGTGGCATGTGCCTGTCATCCCAGCTACTCGGGAGGCTGAGGTGGGAGGATTACTTGAGCCCCAGATTCTGAGGCTGTGCTGAGCTGACTGCTCCACTGCATTCCAGCCGGGCGACAGAGCAAGACTGTCTCATAAAAGTTAAAATGCCACCCTCGTGCTAGTGGTGACCACAGCCGAAGCCGGTGTCCAGGCTCCAGCTGACCCTGGCTTCCACCCTACCGAACCACCCCGCCTCGTGCCTGACACCGAGGTGGATGGGGTGTGAATCGCCTCATCTCGTCCGCCCACTGCAGTGGGTGTTTCCTCCCCCGTTCCCCAGATAGGAAATTGAGGCCTGGTGAGGTCAGGTGACCTTCAGAGGCCACGGCATCTCCCAGGTCACATTCCAGACAACCCCAGGTTTCTGGAACTCCAGGAAAGGCAGGGAGCGGGGAGCCAAGGAGAAAGCCCAGTGGGGGCACCAGCACGGAGCCAGACAGGCCTGGCTGGAAAGTGACCTAGAACCGACTTGTGAGGTCATGTCAGGGGGTGGGGGAAGTAGGGAGGCACCCTTGGGCGCACCTGAACTTGAGCCCAGAGATTTCCGCATCTCATGTCTGCAAGGGTTGCCGGCTGTCTTTGAGGAAATGGCTGGCTTTTTTTTTTTTGAGTTGGAGTCTCACGCCATCGCCCAGACTGGAGTGCAGTGGCCGTTCCCGGCCACCGCAGCCTCAACCTGCTGGGCTCTGGCGATCCTTCCACCTCAGCCTTCCGAGTAGTTGGAATTACAGGCACGAGCTACCATGCCCGGCCGATTTTTGATTTATTGTAGAGATGAGGTCTCGCCAAGTTGCCCGGGCGGGTCTCGAACCCGCGGGCTCAGACAATCCACTCACCTCTGCCTCCCAAGGTGCGGGATTACAGGCTGAGCCACCGAGCCCGGCCATGGCTGGCTTTCTGAAAACAAGTCTGAACGCCCAACAGCCAAACTCTCCCAGCCTTTGACCCTCAGAGCTCACAAGCTGAACCACGGACAGGCTCTGTCCTGGTTTCCACGGCCCGCTGGAGCAACTACACTGCGTGAGAAGGCGGGAAGGCGGCCCCCTCTCCCGCGCAGTCACAAGTCTTCCCGATTGGGACGGCGCTTGCACGCTTCAGCAGTTCCTCTGCTCAGAGAGGAGTGAAGCCAGTCACAGCTGTCACCAGCAAGAGACACCCCCGGGGGCTCAGCCGCAGCGGATGCTTCTCGTGTTCTCCCCAACACATGAGTTGCACACACGCCCCGCACACATGACACACGTGCACACACAACCGCTACAGCACACATGTGCACACCAGACACCCAAGCGCGTGTACTCACACACACAACCTACAACACACACGCACACCATGTGGATGTCCACACGTACACACTTGCCCATACACGCACACACACAACACCTACGATACGCACATACCTCCACGCAGACCCCCTGTGTGCATGCAGCCCCAGGCCTGAGGCCTCGCCCCTCCCCCCAGGTGCCCCCAGGCGGGGAGGAAGGGGAGTCACTGACTTGTCCAGGCAGCTGCGTGGGCGCCTCCGGGGGCAGACAGCGGGGCAGGGCGGCCGAGGTGGAAGCCACGTGCTCCTCAAAGCCGTCGATGCGTGGCTTTTTGGAGGGCTCGGGGCTGGCTAGCGGGGTGACGCTGTTGCGTCTCATGAGTGGGTTGGGCCCCTTCTTCGCGTCCTGAGCAAGACAAAGACAGAAGAGAGAGGCGGTGTCACGAGAAAGGCAGGACGGCGAGCTGCGAGAGGGCCTCTGCCCCCAGACTCCAGGGAGCCACAGGCTCCGCCGGGGTGTGCGGCCCCTCCCGGCCAGCGGGACCCAGGGCCTTCCTTCCCACGGTGCCTGACACCGCACCGACAAGCGACGTGTTCGGCGTGGGGAGGAAGGGCGTGACAACCGCCACAGAGAACAAGGGCGGGGAGAGCTCTCTTCCGGCCTCTGGAGTGGGGGGGGCGGCACAACCAGCCAGGGCCACAGATGCTGAAGGCCCGGGGCACAGAGGCTGACCCCGGCGACCAGCCTTCTATCAGTGACAGCGTGATAGGGCGGGGCCCACGGCCTCAGAGCAAGGGACTGTCTCCGTCACAGCCCCATCCCCATCCCCGCAGGGACGTGAGGCGGGATCCCGGAGCCCAGCACAGACCCTGGCCCCCGCCTCCCGGCCTGTCCTCATCCCGCTAGTGGAAGCCCTGCATTCGAAGACCCCGCTCAGAAGGGGAGGGGCCGGCAGGGGGCACTCGGCCTAGGAACCCGTCCTCCTTCAGGTCGGCCCACCAGCCACCATCAGGGGACATCACGCAGTGAAGCCAGCGACACTTTCCTCCTTCGTGCCAAAATCTGACAGCTTGGGACACAGACAACCCCTCAGAGGGATTCCACGACAGAAAGTCACACTGGCTGGGAAAGGAAGGTCTGGCCAGCACCCACAAGCGCTGTGCTTGACAGTCTGCAAGCAGTGAATTCAAACTCACTTCACAACACACACCTGGACAGAGATCCCATCTACAGAGGTAGCCTGACCAGCACCCAGACAGGCTCGCCCACGTGGAGACGGCCACGGCCAGGCCTCCGGGCCTCCCAAAGCCTTCCCGTCGCCGGGCCTCAGGGCCCCTGCCCTCTGAGCCCCTCCCTCTCTCGATGCGGCCGCACTTCGGGTGATGCCGTCCCTAAGTACTCGCAGGCGACAAGGCGGACGGGCTGATCCTGCTTGCACCAACTCCACAACTTGAAAGGAAGTCTGAGCCGGGCGCAGTGGCTCATGCCTGTAATCCCAGAGGCCAAGGCGGGAGGATCACTCGAGCCCAGGAGTTGGAAACCAGCCTGGGTAACATAGCAAGTCCTTGTCTCTACCAAAAATTTAAAATTCGCTGGGTGAGGTGGTGCATGCCGGGAGTTCCAGCTACTTGGGAGACTGAGGCGTGAGGACTGCCTGCCTGAGTCCAGAAGGTTCAGGCTGCGTTCCGCTGTGGTCGAGTCACTGCACTTTAGTCTGGGCAACAGAGTGAGATCACGACTCAGAAAACAGGCAAGCAGATTTTGGCTGCTTGGAAAGAAAGAACTATGCGACGCCCATGTTTAAAAAGATGCCTATGTTTAAAAGGCAAGAACGTGGCCAGGTGCGGTGGCTCACACCTATAATCCCAGCACTCTGGGAGGCCGAGGTGAGAAGATTGCCTGAGCCTATGGGTTCGAGACCAGCCCTGGCAACTTGGTGAGACCTCATCTCTACAATCAAAAAAATTAGCCGGGCATGGTGGCACCTGCCTGTAGTTCTAGCTACTCGGAAGGGTGAGGTGGAAGGATCACTTGAGCGCCCAGCAAGTTGAGGCTATGGTGGCCGGGAGTGTGCCACGGCCCTCCCGCCTGGGTGACAAAGTGAGCCTCCAACTCAAA